CATCTTAACAAGTACTTTGATACTAGATGGTAACCAAGATCTGATGTTGTAGCTGAAAGGTGGCCATAGGAACTCCGTAATTAAACGACGCAACCCCATCGAGTTTGAGCTTTTTTAATTCGTCTTGACGAGTACTTTGATACTAGATGGTAACCAGGGTCTGATGGTGGATTTCCATTACCTAACATTCCATTTCCATTCATTAAAAACTTCTTCAGGAACCAGGAAACCCGTTAAGTAGGTTCATTGCATTAGGTTCGATTCCTGTTTGCATTCCACGCTAGGTCGTTAAACGTAAACAATGGCCAGTTACTGCTAGGAGCGGTAGCCGATGCATTTGGCGTCGAATTTCAACGTAAATTATGAGGAAGGAGATTACAGTATAGTCGCTAACGCTAGGTATTGCTCGTTGAAGGGTCGCCCTTTGGTGACAAGAGTTTCTAAGCCGCCTTCGTTGTACACGAAAGTTTTTGTGATGGAAAGTCACCTAATAATTTACATATACGAGAATCTAATCGACACTTTAATCAATTATAAACTAATTTTAATGATTCTTTTTGTAATCATTATTGATTATAAAAGTTAAAATCAAGATTTTGCCTGTTTTAATCTATTATGAAATACTATTTATTATCTTTCTTAAAAAAGATCTCGTATCTGGCCCAGAGGACATCTCCGGCAATCTCATCTCTGGAAATATATATATATATATATATATATATATATATATATATATATATATATATATATATATATATATATATATATATATATATATATATATATTATATTTGATTGTTATATTGGATGAAAATAGAATGATTTAATTGAAGAATGGAGCACTAAAAAAAGAAAAAAAATTTAGTTTCTTTTCGTGTTGGTCTTACACTATAGTTTAATACATAGAGGTTATTAAACTAAATAATAACGTATAAATATCATTATGTTCATGTAATGTTTTTTTTATATCTAGTAAAAATATATAAAGTTGTTTATGGCAGTGTATGGGGGAGGCTTATGTCCAGCAGTGGACGGATAGTGGCTGAAATGATGATGGTGATGACGAAAATTATATAAATAATGTCATTTGACAATTTGGTATATTTCATGTCCCATATATATATATCCAATGGAATATATATATATATATATATTACTTTTATATATATATATATATATATATATATATTTGATTGTTATATTGGATGAAAATAGAATGATTTAATTGAAGAATGGAGCACTAAAAAAAAGAAAAAAAATTTAGATTCTTTTCGTGTTGTTACACTATATGTTACATTCAAAATGTTATAGCTATCTGTTTGTTTTAAATAAATAAATATAATAAGTATATATTTTGTGTTATTAAAAACTGTTTTTATATAATAATCATTAGAAGTGATTAAAAGTATAATTACTTTTATATATTTTTTATATTTATATTTTGTTGATTAAAATCAACATAAAATAATAGTAGGTAAAGCGTTTAAAATCATCAATGCACTCATAATTCTAGCATTCAATTGTTTTGAAGCCGTGCACAGAAGTTTGAATGAAAGCAAAGACCTTGTATGCAAACTGTGATTAGGAATTATGCAACAGTAGGTAAATGTAGGAATGCGGACAGGAGTGCCTGACCAAATATATTCATTTAAGTTTTCTACCTTAATCCAGGCTCTAATATTGATGTATATATAATAAAATTACAGCTAGTTAGTGTCTGTACATAGCAGATATTATAATAATAAATACTTTAATCAGATAGTAAATATGGGCTTGAAGATATTTATTGTAAAAAAAAGATGTAATTAGATTCAGAGATACATGTCGCGATACAAAAATATTTTCCATAAAACCAAATGCTAAAAACAAGAAGATCGTCAAACGCGTCACTATTTATTTTTCTAAAACTACGTTTTTTTATACAACTTAGAATGGCAAACAAACTAACGGTCCACCTGATGGAAAGTGGTAACCGTCGTCTATAGACATGAGCAGTACCATGGATATAACAGAGTATACTGTTTCGCCCATGATACCCCCCATGCGTTGCCATTCCTGAGGACTCAGGTGTTATTCCTCTGTACCCTGTAAATTCATATCCCATCCTCCAAACCGAAACACAGTCATGCAAACACAACTGCTTTACGGTTGAAACACGAATAGGACAGAGGTATCCAAGCAAACGAGTTTTGTACAAAGTCTCCCTCTGGTACAAAGTCTCTCTCTACGTAGGTATGAATAGGATGGTAGCCTACAAGGCTACCATGAAACACATAGATTATTATAATTACAGATAGGTAATTGTCTATTTTTTTCTATATTATCCAGAATGTGAATCATAGAACAATGATTCAAATACTGGCGACCTGGACGGTCCGCGAATACCCTTAGGACAACGTTAGAGCTGGCTTGGACCCTACGCATCAGAGATGTGATATATCAATAGATATTAGACATTTAAATAAATATTTGTGAATTTATAGTATTATATATGTTAACAGAGATTTAAAAGAATAACTGTTGAGTTTCTTGCAGGCTCTTCTCACTTCTCACTTCTTTCTCACCTTCCGAACCTTGCAGTAGATTAAAAAAGAAATGACGGTTTAAAAGTGTTTGTAAACAAATTTATTTAAATAAAATTGATTTGAATTTGATGACCAAACTATAACATTTTATTATATTTTTTTGTTTTATTTTTTCTGCTGTACGTTTGCTTCGACGTCATGTGAAAAGTACTGCATCACGTTATCGGGAGAACTTGAATTTCAACCTCACTGGGTATATTGCTAATCACGGGCCCATAATAGCTTTTTATTATTTATTTCCTCTTTTTATCAATACGAAATTTGTGATAGTCATTTTATCTATTCTCGTATTTTTTTTTTAGTAAACTTAAATTTTATTTAAAAAAAAAAAAAACAATAGATATGCTTCTTGCCTGTTCTTCTCAGTTGAAATTGTATTCCGAACTGGGCGGTAGATAAAAAAAAATACTATTAAAAAAATGCTTATTATTAAGTTTACTTGAATAAAAATTATTTTTAATATTGTTTATTGTTTTAGGGGATCGAAAAACAGTTGCTGCAGAGTGGTACAGTAACAATCGTTTGCCACGTATTTTGGAAAAGTGCATCAGAAACGACTTAGCACTAGGATCCTTCTTCACCACAACAATGCTTCGTCGCACATCGCCAGGCAAACGATCGATTATTTGGCGAACTCAGACGTAGAACTACCGGGTCCTCCGCCTTATAGCACTGACCTCGCACCTTGCGATTTATATTTATTCCAAAAAAATAAAAGAAAAACTTCGAGAAAAACGTTTTATGGACGCCGAGAAAGCTGTGGCTACGTTTCAGAAGGCCGTCGAAGAGATCCCTAAGGACGAGTGGGCAAAGTGCTTTTCTCAGTGGTTCTATCGGATGCAGCGATGTATTGACGTGAATGGACACTGTTTCGAAATGATAAAATAAAGGTAAAATCTTGCTAATTTAATCAGTTTTTGATTTTCTAAGGACTTTCAGTTTGACCCTCGTAATGGTATGGTAACTCTGCTTGCGCTATAGGTTAACGCTGGAGGGACACCAGTGAGGGATGGCAAGTCCGGATAAAATCGGCCTAGATTGACCCATCGTGATGAATTCCCAATGAATAAACTAAGATGGTTTCCAGGGGGAGCCATTAGGTCTACCTGGTCGGGTATATTGCTAGCAATGGGGCTGATGTGGCATGTGTGGAGTTAGCCGAAAAGTTCAAATGTCACACAAAGTTTTTCATGTCAGCAAGATTCGAAGTCACTACCTTTGCGGTATATAGGTCTCAATGTAGCACTGAGCCATGTGGTTTTCTCCAATATCTGATATAATACTCGTATGAGATATATCAATTATTGATTTTTTTTTCTGGAAATTTGAGGGCGTTAGCGTCCCTCAAAGCTTTTATTGTACCCACCACATCCGCGCACGCGCAGCCACAGGATGTAACGTTTCCAAATTCAAAATCCTTTAATGTAACTCTTATTACAATTGAATAAAGTCCATTATGTTAAACATAAGTGTTCATGTAACTTTGACATAGCCTATATCGCCCTTATGTCGTACTGTCAGACATTTCCGGGCGGCGGAATGAGTTTTATTATTTTAAAATATCTTAACCGACTTTAGGAAGTTTTTTAATTAATTTTATTTTCAAGATAATTGCAGAAATAACAATTTGTTTTCTTAACAAGAGGAAATTGTAAAGAAAAAAAAGTATTTTAAGACTTAATAACTACAAAATTTTGTATTTTTTTATTCTTTTTGTAAGCCATTAATAATTTTTGTGATTTTTTAACAATATTTACGTGTTTTTTTAATACAACATTTTTTAATCAGTTGTCACTAACAACTGATTAAAAAATGTAATGTAATACTTAATTTCCCACGAATGGATAGTCTGTTTCTAATTTTGATCTGCCGATATTCATATTTTTTTTTATTAGAAAATGTTGATTTTTACGATTAACTGAAAAAACAAATAGTGTTTTTTTTTTAAATAATGTTATGTGACATATTATGTACATTTATGATTATTAAAGATAAACCATAAAAACATTAAAAAAATCCAAATTTTTTTAGTGTAATGAAGGTATATACTTACAAGCACAAGAGAGTCCTCATTTTGACATAAAGTCTTACAAACATATATAATTTATTCCCAAAATGTACAAAAAAAAACTCTACTAGGCAAACTTATTTAGCATTCATAATTGGGAGGGTTTGTCTTGTAAGTTTAAAGAACTTTGCATTACCGAATAGTATTTATACTGTGGCAATACATCCAAGTTTTACATAACTACGTTGGTAGTCGCTGTCTACTGTATTAAAGTAACTAGCCATTATCTAGGTGCACGTATGTCAGAGACATTGTTAAACTGAAGGGCTCCCACCTGTTGCAGTTACCACTAAAGAGAACCTGTATAATTAGTCCTCAAACCGTTCATTGTTTGTCACGCAGAACACTCGCGGACGTCGCTCGACAACCACGTGCCTATCTATATGTCAATCGTAACAGGTCGAATACAACATCGACTCAAAGCCGTTCACTAATTAAAAGTAAAACAGTTCTAATTTCGAAAATTTAATGTTTATTATTCAGTAACTGGCATTCGAATTCGAATTTCGATTTTAAAAAACAAACAATTTTTGTTTTTTTTTTAGAGAATAGTTAAATCAATTTAAATTGAAATTTTAAAAAGTGAACAATTTTAAAATTCGAATATTACTAATAGTGAAGTGCTGACAATTTTTTTTTCTTCTAATCCTTAACCTGAAATGACCCCAGTTGGACTTCTTTTTAAAGTGAACAGGTAAGTTTAGCGTTCACTTGTTAAGTGTGGTGCGTTTGTATGTGTTTGACCGTACATTCATGAGAGGTGTTTTAAATATTGAATATGGGATGCGTTAATAGGCGAGTCGTGCTTATTTAGCATTGCCATTGGAATGCGTGGACGCTTCTATTGTCCGGTTTTTAGTTTTAAAACTCTTATGTGTAAGTAATTGCAAATTAATCCGTTTTATTTTTAAATCTTCAACTGCTTGTAAGGTGGTTATGCTCAATTCGACGACCTATGTATGTTTTTGAGCGATATCTTAGCTAAATTAAAACCGATTATAATGTTTTTTTTTTAATGGAAAGCTTTATTTCTTATATTGATTTGAATTCTAGATAGATATAAACTTTGTACCTCTATCCAAAGGTTATTTGGAAGCACAGATAATATAATACTATGTCTGGAAGAGATTGTTTTAGCGACAAGACTATATATGTATGTATATATATATATATATATATATATATATATATATATATATATATATATATATATATATATATATATATATATATATATATATATATATATATATATATATATATATATGTATTATTCTTCAGTGCAATAAAGAGAAATAAATAAATGAAAATTTATATGAAAATTAAGCATCCCCCTAATTACTATATGCCATAGTGTTACAATATTATTTGTTGAAAGCAAAGAGATTTCTGGATCGATTTGCATAATTCTTATTTAAATCAAGAGTTTTTTAGGCGTGTGCCATTAGCAATAAGCTGACGTCACACTTGATGGTAAGCGATAACCGTCGTCTAAAGATATGAGTAGCACCATAGGAAGAATATATTGTCACACACGAGGTATAACACAGAGTTTCGCAGAGTGGTAACAAATTACACAGAAGTGCATTTTTGATATTTATATATTATTAGCATTATTATTTTTTATTATTGTATATATATATATATATATATATATATATATATATATATATATATATATATATATATATATATATATATATATATATATATATATATATATATATATATATATATATATATATATATATATATATACTACTGGCAAACCCTTTTTGTTTCAACCGTGAAACAGTTGTATTTGCATGGCTGTGTTTCGGTTTGAAGGGTGGGATATGCTCAGCAATGCATGTTGGGTATCATGGGCGAAACAGTATACTCTGTTAAGTCCATGGTACTGCTCATGTCTATAGGCGACGGTTACCACTTTCCATCAAGAGGGCCGGCAGCTTGTTTGCCATTCTAAGTTGCATAAAAAAGTTATTTTTTAAAAGAGCTATGGATTTTTATATTAAATTAATAAATAAGTTTAAATTTTTTTTTATACAACTTAGAATAGCAAACAAGCTGATGGTCCACCTGATGGAAAGTGGTAACAGTCGCCTATAGAGATGTAATACCAGTTTCAACGGTCAATGCGTTATGACTGTGAGTCAGTCGTTTTAATTATATTATTATGATAATTAATTTCTTGCACGTTTATTTTTAGTTTATTTTTGAATTTTAATTACTATTATTGGACATAAAGTTGATATATTATGTAAAAGATCGGACATAACAAATTTATTACGCCAACGTCGTCGGATTAATGATTAAGTTTTTTAGAAGCGTATTAGATTATATATATATATATACTGTATACTGTTAGTGTTAGTAATTTGAAATTTTGCATTAAAGTTTTTAAAAAAGTGAGAAAAGAGAGAGACTTCTCAACTCGTCTGTATTTTTTTAATGTATTTTTTTTTATATATATTCACTGAATTTAATAGATTTTGACAATTATTTTTTTCAATAGATGTGTCTCACTCCTGTATGGTTATGTACAATATTAACGCCGTTTGTCATTGCCAAGCAAAACTCTAATGAAGAAATAAAGATTATAAAAACAATGAGATTAATTAATATAAATTTTGAGGAAAAATGGTAATCGTACGAGCAAGCGTGGTGAGGGACGACCCCCCACTAGATGGAGCGACGACCTCGAAAGTGTCGCGGGTAGTCATACTTTGTCTGAGCCTAGTTAATAAACTGGACATTGCGGGCATAGTGAGTTTTGATATGGTAACAAGTTTGTATGTATGTACCTATGTACAAGTATGTAGTCATTTCCTTGAAAGCCTGACTGGTTTGTGAGGAAGCTCCAATTACACCAACTAACGGTATTACGTTATTTAAGAAGATTACGCATGTTGCAGTCAATTATTGAAATCAGTTTTATTGTCAAATAAAAAATAAAATTTCATAATAATGTTTATAGTGCTGCAAGTTATATAGGATTACAATCCATGCTAATATTATAAATAAATGATAAAGTCAGTTTGTTTGTATTAAAAAAAATAATTACTTTTTTTTTTATTCAACTTAGAATGGCAGACAAGCTGACGGCCCACCTGATGGAAACTGGTAACTGTCGCCTATAGACATGAGCAGTACAATAGACATAACAGAGTATACTGTTTCGCCCATGATACCCCCTATGCGTTGCCATCCCCGAGGACTCAGGTGTTATTCCTCTGTACCCAGTAAATTCACTGCTATATCCCACCCTTCAAACCGAAACACAGCCATGCAAACACAACTGCTTAACAGTTGAAACAGGGGGGAAAGGGATTGTTAGTAATGGAGACTGTAAATCCCATTGCTAGCAATATACCCAACCAGGTCGACCTCCTCGCGTTTCTCCCTGTAAACTATCATGGTTAACTCCTGACGAATTCATCATGATGGGCTAACTGGCCTGTTTTCATTCTCATCTATCACCCTTCACTGGTGCTCCGCCAGCGTATCCCGTTAGCGCAGGCAGGGTTGCCATATCATTTTCACCCATCAAAAATAAAAACGGTTGAAACACGAATGGGACAGAGGTACCCAGGCAATCGACTTTTGTACAAAGTCCCCCTCTGGTAAATCTGTCAATTATATATCAATGTACACATTGTAGATAGATAGATAGATAGATACTCTTTATTGTTTCCTCCAAAAGATTACAATAGTAAACTTATTATATAATATAAATAATTACAAGAAATAATCACAATGAGAAAACAATGGGCGACCTTATCGCTAAGAGCGATCTCATCCAGGAAACCTTTGGATGGAGAGGAGTAATTATAAACAGTTTGGTGGGAGGCACGATGAAAAATTTTGTTAGTTCTAAATATGGGAGATGGGATTGTAATGCGGTATTGAACATAAATGTTTAATGAAATAAGTAACCTGAGATAAATAACCATGGACAGAACGGCGCGGACGCGGCCAGTGTGTGCGGTTTCCCATCGGTGTAACTTACAGCCGGTCGCAGGTTCGATTATGTTGTTTTATACAAATATTCTTAAGGTGAAGACTATTCATTTATTTATTTAACTCTTTATTGCACCAAAAAACATAAAAATAAACAATGACATATAAACAATTCAAGTGAATTTACTGGGTACGGAGGAATAACACCTGAGTCCTCAGGAATGGCAACGCATAGGGGGTATCATGGGCGAAACAGTATACTCTGTTATGTACATGGTACTGCTCATGTCTATAGGCGACGGTTGCCACTTTCCATCAGGTGGGCCGTCAGCTTGTTTGCCATTCTAAGTTGTATAAAAAAAAAGAAATACAGTAGCATGGAGTACAGATTAAAATATACATATATAAAGGTACAAATGGCGGTCTTATCGCTAGGGCAATCTCTTATGCTATGCGACTATGCGAGAGAATCCTTGTTCTTTCCTTACTCCTCACATTTCTATTTAATATCAATTTCCTAAAGGGGGCGTGAGGGATTAGCTTCTTAAACACCCCAGTAGAGGTTTTGTCAGTAGTTACCACGGTTGGCAGGCGGGTTGACAACCGCAGTTAGGTTTTGGTTATCACCAGAGGGAGACTGTACAAAAGTCGATTGCTTGGGTACCTTTGTCTCATTCGTGTTTCAACCGTAATGCAATTGTGTTTGCATGGTTGTGTTTCGGTTTGAAGGGTAGGATATAGCGTGAATTTACTGGGTACAGAGGAATAAGACCTGAGTCCTCAGGAATGGCAACGCATGGGGGGTATCATGGGTGAAACAGTATACTCTGTTATGTCTATGGTACTGCTCATGACTATAGACGACGGTTACCACTTTCCATCAGGTGGGCCGTCAGCTTGTTCGCTATACTAAGTTGCATAGAACAAAACATATTTTTATTTTTATATATTTTTTTAAAGTCTTTCTTTGATAATCCAAATATACAGTATACGTGACATATTATTTCATTGTTACTCCATTCATAATCATTACAAAAAATACTTGTATTAACTTTTCCATAATTTGCTCTACAATAAATACTTGACCAGTTTCATTCATAGAGATATTGATTCGATTGTTTAATCTTTCACGAGAGACACAATCGTCGACAGATATTGTTTCTCGCTAGTGGTTCGCAAATCAGAATATATTTGTTATTCGAATAATTAGTAATTACAAATAAATGCAATGGATGCAAGTGGCTCAGGACCGTTCCTTATGGCAGTCTATGGGGGGGCGCCTATGTCCAACAGTGGACGAATAATGGCTGAAATCAAGATGAATGAATGATTTCAGCTGTTACTAGAAGCGTATAGTGAATGAAATCAGTAGTCAAATGCAATTAGTAATCGAGTGATTTGAAAATCGTTCGATAGAATCAAATGAATTGCTCATTCGAATAATTAGTAGTTGGATTAGTAAAGTCGCGCATCGCTATTTCTCACTAACTTAGCTCAAAAACAAACCTATTATTTCTTTAGCACTAAACGCATACAAATAACTAGTTTAACCGCTGATTAATTTACCCATCAATCAAAGTGCATAATCACCTTGATAGCTGCATGTACATAATTATAACAGTTTCCTAATGAAGTATTAAATTCTAACATATAATGGTATGCGGACACGTACCATCTAGTAAGTATATTCATGTAGGGGGGAGGAGATTGTTAGTAAGGCAGATTACTAGTCAT